CCTAAAAATCTGTAATCTGAGGCACCAGCACTAGGCAAGTAGGGTGCTCAGAGAATGCACGGTCCTATACTATCTTATCTTTGCACTGCCACCGAAAGCTTTAGATGGATGGTGTCTGATGTTCTGGGGGTTTTTTGGCAGTCTACGTGAAAAACTTTTTAGTTGGCCAAGGCCTATTCATTAATTTTCCAAATAAAAGTATCTGGTAGAGGTTTTAAGTAAGACTCATAAGCAGAATACTAAAAAGTTTAACTACAAGATGTTCTATGGTGTCATTTTCTTAAAATAGAACCCTCCTAAAATCTCCTAAAAATAAGTCTGCTATAGTTTCATTTCATTTTCTGAGAAGGAAATAAACACATGAAAACACACACTTAGCTTCTTTTTTAAAAAGTCTCTCTGTTACATGGGCTTACAGATCAAAGACTAAAAGAGCCAATTTCTTCACTTCATAGGTCAATGACACAGCTTTCAAAAAGAGGAAAAACAGTCCCCCTAGTGTGCTGTCGCTGTAGAAAGAGGAAGTATGTTAGTTGAGAATCACTGACGAAGACAGTACTGCCAAAGGAAATTACAAAACAGCATTTTGGCAACACAGGGAAGCAGAAGACAGATTCTTCACATACAACCATAACTAGACCTTTGGTGAGCTACTCCAAAAGGCCACGGGGTTCAAAATTATGAGCCAACGTGGAATTATAATGACACGGTCATTCTGAAATTTAAAAATAAATTTAAAGCAAAGTTGCAGCTAAATTAACATTTCTTAATTCAGTAAGGTGAAGTAACCTGAAGAACAAAAACAGTAAGGACATACTTAAGCAGTGCATGACAGGTAAGCCTCATCTTTTCATCTTGGCAAGAAGCCATAAAGGTACACATTCTCCATGAAGGAAGGCTCACACTCAAATAACGAGCCCCAGCAGCAGCAGCGGTGGCAGCAGCAGCGGCAGCGGCCACCGCCACGGCCACCGCCTTCACACAACATCCTGCAGGAACTCATGGCTGCCTAATATGATTTGTTCTGACTGAAGGGAAATAGAAGTGTGCAGGTATGGACAGAAGAGTAAGTGATGAATAGGCTTCCTGGTAAGTAGTCCTTAGAAGTCTCCACAAGACAAGAGGAACTGAGAGAACTAGCTAGTTCAACTATGGGTGCGCTGCAAGTAAACTTAATCTGAATTAAAGGAAATGTAACCTTTTCCCCTCATAACCACATCTGATTATTCATCTCTACTTTAATGCCTGAGGTAAGGGAACCTGTGAGATAGCCATCGTCCTTCTCACTGGCACAGTATGCATCTGACAAATGTACACTGACCTAAAGCTTCCTTTTTGTTTAATGCTATTGCTACAGCAGCTCTCTTCACTCTGCAGTCCCTAAGCACCCACACTAAAAAGTACTGTGCAGCTACAAGAACATGGTGCTCCATTCACAGCGCCTGTCCTTCTGATGCTGAAATGATAAAGAAGATATAGACTGAGGCACAATGTGTTTTTCCAGAAAGCAACCTCTACTTATTTAAGACTATTCATTACTTAATAATTTTTTTTAAAAGTTCAAATTAAAATACTTTGATAAAGAACAAAGACCTGGGGAAAAGGAAGGAAGGGAAAAGCAAAAAAAAATGATGAGAAAAGCAAGAAAAAATGGAAACAAAGCATTTATAAATAAGGAAGGGAAGAGGGGTTGGGGTGAGTAGGAGACTAGGATAGAAAAAAGAACCAAGTTATATCATGTACAAGTACAAATTCCCTATAATGAATGTGATGAATATCTAAAATGTACCAATAAACTTAATCTAGAAAAAAAATGAAGACCTCTAGAACTGCAACTACTGATTACCTTTATGCTAACTAGCTGTGTGATCTTAGATCACTACCTTCTTGAAGAACAGAATCTTCACCAATAAAGTAAGAGGGTTAACATAAGCCACTGAACTTCATTCTGATTATATTTTAGGGTCACCTGAAAAACTGAACAAAACCAAACCATTACTGGTAAGCCACATATCGGCCCAATGAAATCAGAATTTCTGGGTACTAGTATTACTCAAAAGCCCCCAAATGATTCTAAGGTGCAACCAGGGACGAAAAGCACTAGTCTAAATTCCAGTCTCCAAGGCCCCTGTTCTAATTCTTTCATTCTGACATCTCAGGGTGGTAACTCTGGTTACAGGGTCTTATAATACAACTGCTCAAAAAGCCTCAAAAGAAGGAAGGCCAAGCCTCTCCATATACACCCAGGATGTATACATGACTAGAAGAGGCTAACCTGAATCCTAGACATTTTTAGAAGTTAAATGCAGAACTCAGAATGAAAGTACTGTGGTTTAAATGCATGTGCCTGCTTCCAATATGACTAACCCTGACAAGGAGCAACTTCTAACCCTGGATGCATGGAAATGAGTCACAATTAGCTCCTGATCTCTCCCTTTTCCCTCTTCTCCTACCCTCACTACACCACAAGCACAAGGAAGATCTATTAGTCATAATCAGAACACGAAACCAGCCCCAGTTTCAAAAGGCCCTCTTCATCATCAAAAGATTTGGAAGTTCCTGCATGGCTGCACCTTTTGATGAAGATCATCTTACAAAAACTGGAACTAAATTATATGCCTTTTGTCTTCAAAGATTAGTTGCCACATGATAGCCCAAAAATAGAAATGATAAAAATACTCTAAAGAATAATCCTAAGATATGTGCCCCACATTAAATCTCAAGAATTTCAATTTGTAGTATTTCATAAGGTTTTTAGCTGAAGAGAAATGAGATGGTGAGGACAGAAAAAGAAACCACACGAGAGAGAAAGAGAGAAAGAGAAAGAGAGACAGAGAGAGAAAAGGATATAACATAGAGCCATTTATGACTAGGTCTGATATCTCCATTGCAGATCCTGCAAGCTATAGCAAGTGCAGCTCAAGCTCATTTTATGGTTACTTCTGGTAACACCACTTTTTCACACAAACGTTTTAAAAAATTAAATTTAGGGCTGGGGATTTAGCTCAGCGGCAAAGCGCCTGCCTGGCAAGCGCAAGGTCGTGAGTTCGGTTCCCGGTACCGGAGAAACCAAAAAAAAAAAAAAAAAAAAAATTAAATTTACTAAACTTATTTTCTTTAACTACAAAAACAATAGCAAGAAATGTTATCTGTGGTACTGAGTTACTTTTGTAATTACTTTAAAATCTTAGAAAGGTGGCCACCCTTTCTACACTAACTTTTTTAAAGTTAAAAATTAATTTTTAACAAGTTCCCACACCATATGCAAAGATGCAGAGCTTAATTTCACAGGTAAGAAATTTGAAATACATTCCAAAGCACCAAAACTATCTTCTCAGATTCTGTAAATGGAGGAGATTAACTCTTGCCAGCCACTTGGAAAACCCAGTTTTGAAAGCTATCGCATTAGCAATTCTTTGACAGGAAACTCTCTTCCTTTCTGTAAACAGCCCTCAGATCACACAACCGGCATTCCTTTGTAAAGCAGGAAAATTAGAACTATAAGATTCATAATGCCAGCATTTGTGTCATGTAAAAATGAGACAGATCTGTGGCAGTAACATCAAAGCATATCATTTAAAGTATTTAAACAAGACCTCTCCAACACCAGCTGTGGGGGAAAGAAAAAAAAAAACCGAACACCAAATAGGCACTTTGTTTGCAAGGGTTTCCTAAAAGTAAATTAAAATGTTTCCTACTCTAAATTCATTAGCTTTTTCATATACAAGCTCTTCTCCAAGGCCTCAATTCCACGCTCCAATAAGATTACAGGGTTCTTATGTCACACAACTAGGCAGCTTGGATCCCGGTAAGACACAGGGCTTCCCAATGAAGATGAAGGGACTGAAGGAGAAAGCAACTACCTCTTTCAGTAAAAAAAAGAAAAAAAATTTCAAATACGAGCAAGTGATAAGAGATCTCCAATCATGCAGGACTCCCAGGAGTCCCATCTGCCTGGTTCTGGCACATACATATCTTGGGGGCTGAGGCCAGGAAGGCGCCCAGGCAGAGGTAGCTGGCTATCAGCTGCCCAGCAGGGGCAAAGGAGTTAATCTCTTTGGATGCCCAACTAACTGCAGGAAGTGATTACATCATAGGCCTTTCCACACCTCTCTCCCTACCACGTGTCCGGTGCCCCAAGAGGCAGAAAAGGAACCGTGGAGTCTGCTCAGGTTCTTCCATAGGTAGAAGCCATTATGGCCCAGCCCTGTCATCAAATCTCCCTCTCCACCTAAGAGTTCACTTGAGTGCTGGCCCAGTCCTCCACGCCTGCTTCCCGCAATGAACATGCCAGCGTCCAGGCCTGGGAGGGAGCAGCAGGTGCTGCCAGTCTATACTGAGGTGGCAAAACTGGCCCCAAAACATTTCACAGGTTACCTGGGGCTGTTTTACAGGACCAACTTCTCGGAGGAGTAAAGGTGAAGAAAAGGAACCAGGCTGAAAAGCGTTGCCATCATTACTTTTTTTACCGGGATCGATGCGCCTGCTGGAGTTAACATTCACGGTCTGAAAGCTAGGCTCCAAAGGTTGTCATTCATCCAGCACCATGTTCCTGCGACCCCGCGGAAGCCACATATCCAGCTGCTCCTCCGGCACGGAGTGCCAAATATCCCCCAAGCAGCTCCGTCGCTCCACCCGACTAGGGCGAAGTCTTTTTCAAAGTTAGCCACCGACCTACCACCCCGCCGCTGTCCCAGTAATTCAGCAAATGCAATCCTGTCTGTCCTTCCCTCGTCAGCGTCCCTTGCCGCCCCCCACCTGATCAGGCCTGAAGCTTCCCCTGGAGCTTCCTGCCCCGCTCCAAGCCTGTCCTTTCGTTACCCTCCCCTAAGGGCCAAAAAGAGCCCCCCAAAACAAAGCCTCATAGGGGAGGAGCCCCTGCCAACCCCCCCACCCCACCCCCGCGCCCTTCTGGCGCTCGGTCCGACGGATTCCGGGCGCGCCTCGCGCTGCGCAGGAGGCCTGGCGGGTCCGGCCGCCAGCCCAGGGTGGGTACGCACCTTCCAGCCCGCAGAGCTGTTGCTGTCCCCCTTATCTTTGAAGTAGGGCACGCAGCGCACCATCCACTCATAGATCTGGGACAGAGTGAGCCGTTTGTCCGGAGAGCTCTCAATGGCGCGGGTGATCAGGTCGGCGTAGGACAGGTTTCCCCAGGCGTTCCGTCGCGAAGAACATTTCCTCGGCTGCCCAGAGCTCCCAGCTGCCCCCGGCTGCGCCGGCGGCAGGGGCTGCTGAGGCTGCAGCGGCGTCTGTGTTCCCCCGCTCAGCACTCCCACCGCGGCTGCCGGCCCAGGCCCGAGGTCCTGCCCTCCGGGAGCCAGCAGCCGGGCCGAGTCCTCCAGGAGCAGCCCAGAGCCCAGAGCGCAGCTCCCGCCGCCCCCGATCGCCATGGCCGAGCTGGCCCGGCCGCCGCCGTCCTCGTCGTCTTCATCGTCCTCCTCCTCGGGGATCATGGAGTCCGCGGCTGTCTCCCCTGAGGGCTTGGCCGGGCTGGCCTGGAGCTCCGGCCTCTGCAGGGGCCACGTACAAGAGCGCGGACGGCTCTGGGGCTCGAACTCGGGGTCCACCTCCACTTCGAGCGGAGAGACCGGGACCGGGGAGGCCGATACCTCTGCCATCTTCGCCGCCCGCCCGCCCGCGGCTGGGGCTCTCGCGCTCTCCTCTCGCGCCCGGGCGGGGTGCAGCGGGGGAGGGACGGGGCGCCGCGAAGGCTCGGGCTCCCGGGCGCCGCTGCTGTGGCTGCCGCCGCCTGGGCAAGCGTGAGAGGAAAGAGGAGGAGAGTTGGTTATCCCGGGCTGGAGCCCAGCCCTCGGCGAGCCCTCGCCCGCCAGCTGCCGCCGCCGCCGCGCTCCGCGATCGCACCGCGCCGGCCTCCCAGGAACAGACCTGGGGACGTGCGTCCGGCGAACCTGGCGCAGCAGACGCCGCCCCCTGGCCGGGCCGCGGGGGAGCCGCGAGCGAATGGACGGCCTCGCGCGGGGCAGCCCCCTCCCCCGCCGCCACCAGATCTGCAGGTCTCTCCCGGGCTAGGGGGAGGGGCGAGGGAGGGGAGAGGAGAGGAGAGGAGGGGAGGGGCGGGCCGCGCCTTTAAAGTGGGCAGCGACCGCGCTGAGGCAGCCGAGCCCCGGTCGGAGCCCAATCGGGCGTGCGTTTGTTTATGTTTCGCTCCAGCCCGCGCGCGGCGCTGCCGCCGAAGTCCGTGGGGTCCACACTCTTCTCCCGCTTCCCGGCCCGCGGCCCCTGCGACCCTCCAGCGGAGTGGTCCGAGCCCTGGGACGGCGCGAGCACCCCTTTCTCCCTTCTCCGCCCGCCGGCCCGGATTGGGCGCAGACCGGCCCCCACCACTTCCAGGAAAAGAGAAGCAAAGAAGGGGGCAGGCAGCCCGGCGGGGGCTCGCAAAGAGTCGAGCCCTACAGGCACGGCCACTCCGGGGGCTTGTGTGGTTTATTTTCGCGCGGACGCGGCGCCCTCCGCCCCCTTCCCAGCCAGGAACAGGGGGCGGGGTGGGAACAAGTCGGAACATAAATCTTCCAACAGGTCGGGAAGCGCCAAGTCTCCCGGGCTGCCAGAAAACCCGGACAGCACGTTCATCACCTCCTTGCTCCCGCTGCTGCCATCTTGACAGTTTCCCCCTTCCCTCAAGTCCTTTAAAAACACTAGCGGGAGGCAGCGGGGCGCGCACATCGAGTCACGGGGAGGGAAAAGGGAAGCGCTGGCCCAGCTCGGAAGCAGATCCGGAGTCACCGCGAAGGCGGCCGCCCCGCTGCACAGCTCCGGCGCCTACCTCGGCTCCTTCCCTTCAGGGACGAGGCGGGAGGACGCACGATCCCGCGCGGGCCCCGGGCGCGGCGAGGAGAGGGCGCGCGACCCTGGCGAAGGAGAGGCGCTCCGGCCGCTGCAGCCCGCCCGAGGAACCGCCTGTCAGCCTGCGCGCCGCCGCCTTCCACATTCCTCCGCCTCCCTTCCACGAGCAGGGCGGCCGCGGCAGAAGCACAAAGTTATAGACACGCAGGGAGCCTCAACCTAGGCTGACGGCGAGCGGGCGGGTCCCCGCCCAGGGGGAGGGCTGGGGCGGGGGCCGAGTGTGCCGCCTGTGTGCGTGTGTGAGTGCGCGTGTGTGCTCGTGCGCGCCTGCGCGGCCCTGCTCCGCGGGACTGCGGGCACGGGTGTCTGGGCGCGCGCAACGGGCTGGGACTCCGCGGGCTCCTCCTCCCCAGCGGGAGCCTCTACGACAACAAAGCTCGGCGCCGGCCCGGGAGAGCGGGGGTGGGGGAGTGAGCTCTGAGCCTTGAGCCCCGAACGCTCCCCGGGGCGCAGACGCGTGGCCTCCGAGAGTCTGGCCAGGCGCCTGGCACCAGGGGTCCCCGGGCTGCCCGCCTTGGTGTCTGATTCCCCATTGGAACCCGACACCAGGTAACACCCGAGATAAGATGCTGACCGCAGATGGCAAGGGTTGCCTCGGCGTGGAAATACTGGCTGGCGAAGAGGTTGGTGCCTGCACGACTTTGATAAGCTGATGACCTCAGATTTCATCGGGCACCAAAAGGTGTGCACTGAGTCCCTTACCTTGGACGTGTTTCGTTTCTCATGGGTTTAATAGCAAACGAGGGACAGTGGAACTCCGGGAGAAAGCAAATTATTCCCCCATCCTAAACGTGAAGAGTAGATTCCGGACTGAAAGTGTAAAAGAATTTTACTGTAATTTGTAAACAACAATAAAACAGCTGTGCATTTCTGGCTTCTTAGGGAAGAAACCGGCCCTCTTCTGTTAGAACAAGAACGGGAGCATCTCAAGTCCTTACCCTATGTCCCGTATCGTTCATTTGTATCTTTAAGAATGCACCAAACGCGACATGCACATCCAAAGCCGACCCACTCGGTTAAGACCTTTTTATTTTCTTTTACAAACTCCTTCTAAGACCCTAAGCTACGTCAGAGTCTAGAAGTGAGCTCCGCAGCAACCCGATACACAAAAGGCTCCAGCCGCGGAGGCACGCGGGAGTCCGCCCACCCTGCCGGCTCCAGGCTCCGGGCTTTGCGCAGGACCCGTCACTCAAGTGACGCACGGCCCCGCCCCGCACCAAGCTAGTTCGACGCGTACAAACAGATGATGTCATTGTCTCCACGCGCGCGTGACCCCGGGGCTCGGCGCCGCGTCGCCATTCGCTGCGCCGCTTACTCGTCAAGCTACGCCGTGCGCTGACTGGCCCCGGCCACCGGTCTCCAGGCCCCAGACGCCCCTCTCCGCCCCCCGCGCCCGCCCCCCAGCAAATAATAAACAATCGAGTAAAATCGAAGGGAGGAGGGGAAAACGGACAGGAGGGGCGAGGGAACGCTCCCGAGGGCAGTGCGCGCGCTGACGGCGGGAGGATTGAAAGGGCGGACAAGAGAGAGCAGGGGCGGGAAGGAACGAGAGGCCCCGGGGCGGCGGGTCCCTCCTCGGCGGGCGGGCGTCGGCGGAGGAAACTTAAGGAGCCCTCGGCGGGGCGCACTGGTGCGGCGCGGGCGCTAGGGCCCCGG